AGTTCTCAACTTTTCCCTGTTGAAATCTGAAGCTCAGAAACGTTAATGGGATGAGTGTGTCAAAAAACTTGCACAGTGCAGAGGTGCACCAGTTAACGAAGTGGCATTCATATCAGCAGAGGATTAGGCCCATTACCTGAACAGAATAATTTATTAAATGGGAATGAAGAAAATATTAACTAGAAGGTGACCTGTCTGTCAATCAGTTGTAGAAGGCAGGGTCACATTACCTCCTCTGATGAGATCTCTCTTTTAATCCTTATAATTTATGGAGCAAAGTGAGTGTATCATATATAAACCATAAATTGAGACGTGGACTCTATTTTATAGTTTATAAGCTATTTTTCATTACTTATTTCCATCTGTGAAATATTTTCTCTCTGAAGTGGTTATTTCCTTGCCTAGCTTTTACCCCGTAAAGTGGATAAAATAATCATTATCTCTTATGCAGAGTCATATACTTGTCCTGTGGCTTAACTGAAGATGCTTTGCAATTTTGGAAGAAAGGCACAAGGGAAAATGCAAAGTATTTGTATAACAGCGAAGCACATGGTCTCTAACAGGCCTATTCAAGCCTTTATTTAAAGAAGTGGAAAACAAAACTGAAACTTGCTTTAGGTATATTTTAGCACTTAATGGCCTCCCTGTTCTATAGTTGAGGCAATATGAGAAATAGTATAGGAAACATAACTCTCTTATGTATCTTGACTAAATGAAGACTTCTGACAGTGCTTTTATTTCTGTGACACTAGACCCAAGTTATTCTCCCCCAAGTGGCTGAAACATTTGGTATATGAGTTTGAGGATAACTTTGGCCCTATTTTAGTTTTCACTTCAATCTTATAGATGTGTTTTCCTGAAATACGTGGTATTGAATGCAGATTTCTGGATTAGATTGTACAACAGGATGGAATAGCTGCTGGGCAAGGGCTGTATAGCATTTGTGGTCTAGACAGCTCCAGATCTAATGCTTTATTAGATCTAATGATTTACTAGATCTAATGCTTTATTAGGTCCATGTTTTATTTCTTCCTGTTTCCAGGCAGGTGTGGTTGATGTGGATGGCCATTTGGTGCAGGAAGAGGATGGATGGGATTTTGGGACTAGAACGACTCCTTTTTCATCCGGACGTGGTGGGAAGAAGAAATGCAGGAAAAGCAATGAGCAGCTCAAGTGAGTTTAGTGGCCAGACAGCTCTCCCTTTTCTCTCATAATGTGTCATCGCAGTGGCTGGTTCTGGTCAAGGTGTGACAGGAGGAAGGCAGAGATGAAGCTGGCTTAACTGCTGTGTGGAAGTTTTGTGTTCGCTCAAGGATGACATTCCAGCATAGCACTGGAAGGGTTCGTGGTGTCCTTATGGCCACCAGCCACACCATCAGGAGGATGCTAGGGGAACGCGTGGGGCCTGTGGGAGGGTAGACCTCTGTTATGGGGAAGATTTACTGCCAAAGGTTCATCTGTTACAAATGAACTGAGACCTTGGAGCACTGTGCAGTGTGTGAGCTGTGGACATGGAGGGTGGATGGGCTTTGAGCTGAAGAGCTTGCAGTCAGCACAGATAGGGTTAGCCTGTGATGACAGAGGTGGAGAGTTGAAGACGCAGGCAGGGGAATCATCCTGTGATGGCGTTAGAAGACATGTTAAACCTGCAGTTTTTCTTTAAAGTGTTAGGTGGAAGGAGATCTGCTAAAGGGAAAGGAAGAAAGGGACAGTGGTCAGAGGAGCAGATAAGGAGAGTGATTTTGAGAGGGAAGGGGGAACCAGCAATCAGTACTGAGCAGAGAAAGATCCTTCCCATTTATAGAAGTGAGGTCCTGCATTGGCAGTTGCTACAACTACTTCTGTTGCTGAGAGCATCTGCTTGGTTCCCCTCCTTGACATTTCCCCAAAGTTGTCATGTTAGAGAGGAAGGGAACTGCCAAGGCTTTAGTATCCACATGACATGGGAGACTCCTCTGTGCAGTTCTTTTTTCTTAGGGAGACAGAAGGAGATTTGGCAAGCACTTTTCTGTCTCTCTTTTAAGTCACGCTATCCCCTGCAGTCAAGGCTGGTGGTGTGCGTGGAGGTGAGCTGAGGGAGAATAAGAGAGAGCTGGCTTTGATTCAGATGTGGGGTTAGATCAAATCCTAGGGGATTCAGTTTGTAGGTTCCTCTGAAGGTAAAGAGGGTTATCCTGTCTGCAGGTGTGCCTCAATCCAGACATGGTGGGACTGTCGTCCTTGTGAGCCTTCTCAAGAGAGCTAGTCCAGCCTGGGCTCTGTTCTATAGTATTTTCTACACAAGGCAGTCCCTCTACTCTAGGAAGTAAGGATTTGTGAGAACAAGGCTGATCTTATTCCTTGCAAGTAGGTATTTCGCTGTAACGTCAGACTGCTAGTTTTTGAATCAGCAAAGCTAGCACCTGCAGCATGTTTTGGTTCCAGTTTCCTATTATGAAGAAATTACTCTAGTTCATCTTTTTCTCCCCTCTTAGGAAGGAAGGAATCGGGACCTCTCTTTCTGGGAGAGATCTGGATGGTTTTTTACCATCAAGAAGTCAGGTAATAGTTTCCACCAAGGATCTGGATGTGAAAGAGGGAGCAAGGAACCAGGATATAGCAAATACTGATGCAGAGCTCTCAAAGCCAGCTCCCCTGGAGGATTCACAGCGGCCCAGGTAAGCTTTCCCTGTAAGGTAGTATATCCCCTTTGCCAGAGGATGGTTTACACCGGAGTGATTGCATTGTGTTCCCCTAGTAGAACTACCTGCTTCAGAGTAAAGAGAAGAGACTCAGAGATCTCCATTGCCTGAATGCAGAAATACATTGTAGGACCTCAGTGGTTGTACGGACACCGTCTGTACCAAAGTATGTTGGTGGCAATCATCTTCTCCATCTGCTTTCAGCTCTGTCCCGATCAGTTGTTCTATTAAGTGTGAAGTCTCTGAAAATCACAGCACTCTTCACCCTTTGGTTAATAGTAAAAGTCCAGAGAGACCTCATGTCCAGCCACACAACCCTACACACCTGTGAAATGGGTCAATAGCTACACAAGATCGTGGCAGGAGGTGCCATATCAAGACAAAAGAGTGGAGAATGGTCAAAAATGCAGCAATGTGCCAGTCATCTGCTTGTGCTACGATAAGAACTTAGCATGGGAGGGCAGCACCAAATTGCATTTCATTCTGGATGGAGTTGATGGGGTAAAAAAATGCTAAGGATACCAAGATGAAGGGCTCTTTCCAGGAGGATGTGCTCAAGAGCATGAGGCTCTTGAACTCAGAGGAGCTCAGCCAGGACCCCACACAAACCAGTCTGGACACCACTTTTCCCATCACCAGCCATCTTTTCTTGCTGAGAGCTCTCATGCTACAAGTGAGGCAACTCCAAAGTATTGTGAGTGCCTCCATTGCCTGTGTTGTAGATGACCAGTCCTTCCTTGTTCCTGCCTCCCAGGAGTGAAGCTGTCCCAGAATTTACTCCTTGAAGCACCTTAACATGTTGTCGTGTTCCTCCATGTCCTCTCCATGCATTTTAGTATTCTTCTAAAAGTCCTGTGGCTGCCAGGGGAGGCTGCTGCTGCAGCTGCATCAGGCACAGCCCAGAGTGCTTAAAGTAGCTCGGTAGCTGGCTGTGAAAGCTGTAGCTGTGGCAGTTTGCCCAGCGGCTGTTGTTTACGGCGCTTTGCCCAGCAGTTTGGCACGGAAAGCAGTCTCATGCAGCCTTTGAGGAGTTTGAAAAATGCCCTTAAGAGGTCAATCAGAGGAAGGCAATAGTCAGAGTTTTGCTTTGACCAGTCTGGACTGAGGAGTGTGGAGACTTCTAGCTACCTTCTGCTACCAGATCCAGCCCACTCACCGAGAACAACCTTACGCAGCGCAGAGCAGCATCTGTGAGAATGTGATGTTCTCCTGAGGGACTCTCCTTTTGCCCAGTGTAGTTTGTGTTGAAGTAAGAGCTGGTGTTTGTGGGGGCATGTTTGCATCAAAGCCATTTCATAGAAAAGTCAGGATTGACACATGCCACTTTGAATTCAGTCTTTCTAAAGAGGCAAGGCTTAAAAGCCATGGGCGGCAGCATTGCGGAGCCGGCCAACACACACAGCTATGGTGTTTGGTTGGCAGAGGTGACGGGTCTGTGCTGGGAATCCAGTGAGGAAACAGCAAAGGCATTTCTGTTTAACAATAGGGAGGAACAGTATTCATTATTTTTCTGAAAATTCAGACCATTAAAGGTCTGCTTTCCAGGGAAGACTCAATTCTGAGGCATCTCCTGAGGAACATGGTTTGTATGTTAGTAACACTTTCTTCTGGGAGTACCACTGGGGGAAAGAGGGTATGAAGGGTGGCACAGAGACAGTACCAGGGTGCAGCTAGCACAGTGAGATCCTCAAAGGACCCATTGAAATACTATCCACAAACATCAGCTATGGTCACTCCCATGAACTGTGTCACACTGCAGGGCAGAGCACACTGACCTCCCCATGTCTACGTGTGTTTTCTTTGAATTCTGTTGCAGCTCCCCTCCACCCAAGCCAGTGGCATTTGAGCAGTTTAAGGAGGAGTGCGGAAGCGAGATCAACCGGATCTTTAAAGAGAACAAAAGCATTCTCCTTGCCAGGAAGAAGAGAAGCAGTACAGTAGCGCAGAGGATCAACTTCATCAAGCGTGAGATAGAGAGCATCAAAAAGGCTCTAGAGGCTCAGAAGCAGGAGCGGTGGCAGCAGGGTAAGTCACTGTGTGAAGACTGGCCAACAAGAATCTGACAAGAAGAGGGGAGCTGCTGGTTTCATAGCAGTTTTTGTGGTGAGGCCACTAGACCACCACTGCTGCTTGCCAGGGCAGTGGGACAGGCCACACCCTATGCCCTAGCTCTGCAGCTGGCCCTGTGGTTTGCCACCTTATTCCTCCACCTGAGTCCTCCACACTTCAGCCTCACTGAGTCATGCTACTCAGGCTTTATGCTAGTGAGGTGAGCTGCAGTCAGATTGGTTCCTCACCCCACACTTTGATGGATTAGGCAGCGTACAGCTGACAAATGCAGGTCAGTACAGTGCAGAAATCACGGGTAGCAGGCTTGCCCTTACTGTGGTGGAGATGTATTACATCTCCTACGGCTTGATTTCATCTAGATTAGGGTCTGGTTTATGAAAGTCAAAATCCCAAACTAGCACTAGAGGAAAAAATGGGGTAAGTGCCTTCCTCCTTTGCTGTAGCAAGATGTTCGTTAGGTGGAGTATGCCTGGACCAGACCAGGAAGCGTGTCAGGTTTCGTGCTCCCTGCAGCAGGGCTCCCAAGAGTCGGTGCTATTGTGTTCTGCAGAGGAGTGGAGAAGAAACATCTCCGGGTGTGGAGAGAAATCTGAAACAAATGGCTTCAGTAGGGGAGCCGTCTACAGTGCTCTGCCTGTGATGGCGAGGAAGCAGCAGTGATGTTCCTTGCATACAGGGAGGACAGCAAAAAACCTCAGTTCCATGAAACTACAGCCTTAAGTATTGCCAGGCAAGTAGCAGGAAATGAGTGAATGAGGAAAGGAATGGTCAACAGCAAGCAGGCCCAGACTAGTGACTGAGGGCCGGAGAGTCAGCCCAGCATGACTGCTGCCCTACTGGTTTCCATTTCTCTTCCTATAGAGAGACTTTTATGACCATGCTTTGCAAGCAGCCTCTTCCCTGGGGTCTGGTCCTGCAAGATGCAAACCTCTTTTGGCTAAATGAGCAAATCGGCTTGAATCCATGTTGAAGTGAGGGTCTGTCTTTTCACAGACTCGTTGCTTCTTTTGGTACTTTGCTCTTTATGATGACATTTACCAACTGGTGGTTTATTGTGGATGCTAGAAACCACAGGAATAAACTGATCTGAGGGAAACCAAGAAAAAGAGATGTTTATCATAGGGAAGTAGCATGGCTTAACTGGTCCCCAAAGGGCTGACCAGCCCTTTGTCTCAAAAACCCTTACCATGGCTGCCCAGGGAGTTTTTCAGCCGGAGCCATAAAAGCTCTAAGAGATACCCTTCAGCAGGCTGTCATGTGAGTGTCTTTCTGTGGAGCCTGGTTCTTCCTCTTCATCTGCATCTGTCCCCATTCAGGGAGGACTGATGTCTGTATGGGTTCAAGAGTTCAGCAACGATTACTGCCCCACACCACTCCAACACTGTATTTGTAGAAAGCACATCTAAGGAAATGTCAATTGTGTGGTTAACCTCAGTATAACCGGGTAACTACCGTGTGGTGCGAAGTATAATGACTGTTCTTCGTCCCTCTCTACCCTCATGAGAAACCTTCGTTTCCTTTTCTTACCCTCCAGGAGAGTATGTTGATGAGAAAGGACAGATCATAATTGATGAGAAGGAGTTTCTACTCATCATGAAGCTGAAGGACCTGAAGGAAGAGTACAGGTCTGGTTATGCTGAACTGCAGGACCTGAAGGCAGAAATCCAGTACTGCCAGCATCTGGTGGACCAGTGCCGCAACAAACTCATCTCAGGTACTGGCTCACCAGGACAGTTCCTGAACCACCTCCATTTCAGCTGGGGTGCTTGATCGCAGCTCAGTAGTGAAGTACTTCACAGATGTGTTGTATATAAGCCAAGCCCCTGCCATCCTCTGTTGTCATTCTTCTTGTTGCCTTACAGACTTGTTTTTTATTGATGACTGGGTTGGGGGTTTTTTTTGTCATAATACTGAATTGCTGCAGATTCTCTTTCACAGATGATAACATACCGCTCCTTGGTCGTGCCGCTAGATGCAATGCTGTGTGTAAAAGCCTTTCACCTTGAAGTTGACAATAACGCTTCCTGGTTCTCACCCTTGATTTCATTCAATAGAGGTGGTGACTAAGGAACTGCACTGGGCCAGGGCTTTGGCTCTGGACTGCAGATGTTTACTCTGTACCCCTGTGAGATCAGCATTGCACAGGTTCCAGTGCTGCAACATGGGTGCCTTGGCAGGAAGCAGAGCTTGGTCATTTTAGCGTGTTCTTCATGAGCACCACCCACGTGGTGGTGAGTCACACCTCTGCTCAGGGTGATCTGTGCAAATTCGTGGTGTGCTCCACTGCAAGCAGCTCACTTTGAGTCTGTGGTAATGGGGGTGCAATCCTGCAGTATCCCTGGATTTGTCTCGTATGATGGAAGACAGTAGGTGCACAAATGCCAGAGTCCCAAACATTTGGATGCTGTGCACATTGGCAACGCTTTATTTTCTACAGACTTGCCAGAGCACAACTTTTATCTATCAGTGCATCCCACGCTGAAAGAAATGCATGGCTTGCTCCAGGAGATAGACAGGGCCAAATTGTAATTGTGCAGAAACCTTGCCACTGGTTTGTCTTGGATCCAGGTTTGGCATCTTTTGGGTGCTCCAGATGTTTGCTGTTTGTTTAAACACACAGGCGTGGACTCATTCAATATCTGTGTCATCCCAGAGCAAAGAGGTTATCTCAGAGCTAAAACCAGGGTAAAAGGTCGGTGGTGTTGCATCATGCGCACAGGCCTAGCAAGAGCAGGGCTCTGCGTTTAACCTCATTTATCCTTCACCACTCCCATGACAGAAAGCAGCTCCGTTCCTGGGGCCCCTCCTGGGCAGCACCGCGTTCTTTACGGACTGTGGGCTCTCCTACTTCTTGGGGAAATGTGCCAGAGGAATGGAGCAGAGCACGGCCACTTTGCAGCAGGTGTCTGGGAAATGCCCAGTATTAATAAGGACAGACTTCCTGCTGCATCGCAGCTCCTGCTGTGTATTATCACCAGCTATCACGGGATGGAAAGCGGCTGTGCTTCTTCAGCATTTGGAATTGAAATCTGACTCCCAAATGTGCTGACCACTCAAAATGGCTAGCTCCAAGCTATGGCTCCATGTCTCCGGGATGCAGGAGCAGTGCCATCTCGCGGCATGCCGCCTCTCGGGCTGCACAAGCCCAGGGGATTGTCCCCAGGGCTGGCCGCCACGTCCCAGCCACCTCACGGGCAGCAAGGACAGGCAGCAGCCTGCCTCAGCACAGGCGATTGCAGCTGACAGTGCCCTGTCCTTTTTAACTGACCTTTCAAAGAGTTTTAAACTCAAGACCTTGGGAGTTCTGAGGTCCCATCCGAGAGTTTAAGAGCACTGAGGTCCCGTCTGATCCACAGACAGGGAGCCAGAAGCAACCAAGCCTTGTCTCCTATTAAACCGGTCATTACAGCCCTGTTTATTGCCTCCCACTTTGCTTTGCAGAGTTTGAGATCTGGTACAGCGAGTCCTTCCTTATCCCCAAGGATGTGCAGGAAGCTCTGAAGCCTGGTGGCAACATCAGACCTGGAATGATTCCCATAAACAGAGTCATGTGCCTGGTGAGTTGTCCTGGCAGCTGTGCTTATTCTCCTTGATAGCCACACGTGGCACGGTAATGAGGGCACAACTAAGCCTGGAGGAGGAGGAGGGCACAGCAACTCTGCCACTTTCTCTAAGCAGAGTGGCTGGCATTGAAATGCTATCTGCTGTGATATAGAGAGCAACTATCTGCAGATACATCTTGCTTTCACATTAGCTTTACCATTAAGAGGCTAAAATAAGAGAGTGACTGAAGCACCCGGTCATCTGCTGACTGTCAGTAATCAGGCAAACAGCCCAGAGGTGCAAGGGGTAGTTGGGGGGACTTGTTTCCAGTCTGTGTGGTCTGTAGTTTACAGCTACACAATTGTGTTTCGTGTTGTGGCAAGTGGTACTCAGCCAGCCCTCTGTTTAGAAACCACCACTTTGGGGTACCCAGGGTCTTTTGTCATTCCTGACAAAGCATATTTCTCTTAAGCTTCTCATTTACCCGACTTCTTCTTTGCATCATTCTCCTCTGAAGTCACTCCAGGTTTTGTCCTTCATTGTTAAATGTCAGACTCACAACCTTCATGCTGTTTGATAGGGACTTGGTGGCAGTGCTTCCACTCTGTGTGGCATGAGGAGGTGATTCACAGTAAGGAGAGCCCACCTTGGCTGCAAGGGGGAATCAGCCCTTTGTTTGTAGGTGTAACACATCTCCATTATTGCTGCTCAACCTCTGCAGATCGAAGAGAACAGCTTGTGGGGACAGGTCCTAGGTCCATCTCTCCCAGGAGCCTGTCCCACTAGCAGCAGCGGGCATCTGCAGGTGTTTGGGAAAGAGAACAGGAAGGGTGTGAGCTGTGTGACCCCTTTCCTAAATGCACAACCCAGCGCATGGTGGCGCTGGATTAATGGTTGGACTTGATGATCTTGAAGGTCCTCTCCAACCTAGTGATTCTGTGATTCTGTGATTTCTAGCCAATGTGTAGTGGGGGACAGGATGGCTTTGTCTTTTTAGAAGGAAAACAGAAAATTAACTCTTTTGTCTCCAGGTGTCAGATTATTTTGACTGTAAATCTCAGTGAAGCATTTTCTTTACTCCCTTCTAGAAAGGCATATGAAGGGTTTTAAAACTGATCAGAGACAGGTTCTTCCCACTCTACTGAATTAGTTCCCTCGAGAGTATGGATAACAAACATGATATGAGGGGAAAAAAAAATGTAGTGAGTTCACTTTTAAACAGAATGTGGTCATCTACCAGATTGTGGAAGATTTCAGATACAGACCTGTATGGGAAAGAGCAAAAAACCCAACAAACCTAAACCCCTTTGGATAAAGCCTAATGAGGTCACAGGAAAGCCCTGATGATTGCATGGGTCCAGGATGTCAGTCTTTGGGGAAAGGAGGAAATCCATCACTAGTCGCTTTTACTAACCCAAGTTATTCAATGTATTCATAGAAAGTCCCTTAATGTTCTCCAGCCCTGGATTTCTTGTCATCACATCAATTATAACCCCAAAGATGAATAAGACATGCCTTTTAGCAATACTTTGCAGCTGTGTCAAGTTGTTGATGTTACAGGCAGAAATTTTCAGGCGGAAGATAAACAGTGTCCCCGATAATGTTGCTCAGTGCTGGTTTCTTCTCTCCTTCCTTTCACTGGGCAGCTTCCCAGTCAGTGTCATTGGCCATGCTGAGGCCCATACTGGGTCTGGGAGGCAATCACCTCATTTTTCTCTGGAGGTTTGTTTCCTACTTAGAACCATTTTCCCTTTTCCAGACTGGGTCTTCATTTACTGTTCCTCCAGGGTGTGTCTCTTTTACTGTTGGCTTGATTCGGTTTGGGAACCTGTCTTTTTATCACACCAGAATTTCACTGTCACCTTCTCCAGGCTACTAATGAACAGCCACAGAAGGTCACCTAAGAATCTGTTAGAGCCATCCTCAAATCTGTCACGAAAACTTTATACACAAGCTGGTATCTTAAAAAAATTGTACTTCCGTTCAACCCATGTTCCCCCTCAGCGTGCTCATGCCTTCCAGACGGTTCCCTGGAGAAGTGTGGGCGTGGATGTCAGCTAGCTGGACTTAGGGGGGACCACGCTCAAGCTCAGACCTCCTTCAAGCTGTGACATTATCTTGCAGTGGAAGGGAGACTGTCCTGTGGGTAGTTATGGGCAGAGCATGGCCATCAGAAGACAGCAGAGGGAACGCCCTTTGGGGCTTTACGCTTACAGATGGATTTTGCCCGAAGTCCTGCCCAAATCTGCTCACGTAAGGCATGGGAAGGGGGCACCTCTCAGTTCTGAGGCTTCGGAGAGATTGTTGAATCAGCGTTCAATGCGGCAAACGGGATCGATTGACCTCTGTGTCTCCAGGTGTGTGTTTTTCACATGGAGTGGGGTCTGTCTGTCTGCTGGCAGGAGGAAGATGAGCAGGAGAGGTTTGAGCGGATGCAGGAGACAACGCTGCCAGGCTGCCCAGCTTCGGTCTCATTCTACAAGGCGAAAATGAAGACTGATCAAAAGGTAATTTCAGCTGGGCCCAGCTCCACCCACCCCTGCTGATGTGCATTGGGAGAGCGATTCTGCGCCTTGCTGCCAGGTGGGGTGTAGGACTCTCCCGGACCGGCTGCTGTTTTGGCCGTGGCCTTTTGAAAAATGCTATTTTGGTTCTGTGGCACAACTAAGCTCTTTGAAATGTTCTTTGTCTCTGGCTGATGTAAAGGCTCCATCCTGTGCTGGTCTTCTGGAAAAACCAATCTCAGCACTTCTCAATTCTACTTCCTTCCTGGCCAAGGGCTCACCGTAAGATACCACGGAGGCCCTGAGCTTAGCAGGACTTCAAAGAAATGGGGTGTTTATGAGAGTAACAGGGCTGCACAATTCTATCAGTAAGCATTCTTAAGGAAAATTATCTCAAAACTAGCCCTTCAGTGCTCGGAAGGAGAATTTCCCAGGGCTTCTTGTGCTCTCCTTTGAGCCTGCTGGGATCTGCCACTGGTAGAGCAATGCTGGTGTGAGGGGGCTTATTTGGGCAGCTTTTTCCAGCACCACTTGGGAAGGTGTTTTGTTTTGGCAGGAAAAATGCCTTTACAGTGAGAATTCTCCTCTGAAAACCGAGCTCACATTAACGAACCTTTTTTGTTTTCTGTTGCCAGCACACGTACACCAGAACCATGTCATCCCTCGAGCAAATGCGCAAGAAACCCGGGCTCATCACAGCTGCTGGGAAGAATAAACCCCTGTCGTTTCTGCACGTCATGTAGCAGATTCGGGCTCAGCCTGGAACCCAGCATTCAATACAAACAACATCACCTCAGAAAGTGTCTTGTGTTCACGTCCACAACAGAATCACAGAATCACAGAATCACTA